TTATGACCCAGCCTTTATCTCCTCAGCTGAGGGGCCTCTGGCTCGTGTTTCTCCGACACTCCTTAGCATCCGTGTTTGCTTTGTGCGGCCATGGTACTGGGCTCCCTGCTGGAAATCTAGTTTCCTGTGGTCAGGGGCCGCTGGGTCTTATTCTTTCCCACATCTGACTTTATACCCACAACACTGCATTTACCAAAGTGATTCCTTAATGGATTACCTGCTGAGCCAAATTTAATCCACTCAGATCAGAACGGTGTTCTCACACTCACAGTGACAGGATTGAAATTCTGTGAACCCCTAACCAAGGCTGTTGCATTGTGCTCAGAAGGATCCAGAGTTACCTTTTCAACATTTATTTATTTTATTTTATTTATTTTTTTGACAGGCAGAGTTAGACAGTGAGAGAGAGAGAAAGGAAGATCTTCCTTCCGTTGGTTTACCCCACAATGGCCGCTATGGCTGGCGCACTGCGCCGATTCGAAGCCAGGAGCTAGGAGCTTCCTCCTGGTCTCCCATGCAGGTGCAGGGCCCAAGGACCTGGGCCATCCTCCACTGCCTTCCTGGGCCACAGCAGAGAGCTGGACTGGAAGAGGAGCAACCGGGACAGAATCCGGCGCCCCAACCAGGACTAGAACCTGGGGTGCTGGTGCCACAGGCGGAGGATTAGCCAAGTGAGCCGCGGTGCCGGCCAGCATTTATTTATTTTTAAAAAGATTTATCTATTTATTTGAAAGGCAGAGCTACATAGAGGCAGAGGCAGAGGGAGAAGGAGAGAGAGAGGGAGAGGTGGGGAGGGGGGAGGAGAGATAGGCCCTTCATCCGATGGCTCACTCCCCAGATGGCCACAATGGCTGGAGCTGCGCCAATCAGAAGCCAGGAGCTTCCTACAGGTTTCCCATGTGGATGCAGGGGCCCAAGGACTTGGGCCATCTTCTACTGCTTTCCCAGGCAATAACAGAGAGCTGGATTGGAAGAGGAACAGCCAGGTCTTGAACCTGTGCCCATATGGGATGCCAGCAATGCAGACTGCAGCTTTAGCCAGTTCACCACAGTGGGGCCCCACCTTTTCAGCATTTTAACACAGCATTTCCCCTGTTGTCAATAACTAATACACACACATTTTAGATAACTTGTGAAGATATACAAGGGGAAAAAGTTGTCAGTAAAACTACCTTCCTAAGGTATTTTTTTTTCTTTTTTAAAGATAGAAAGCCTGTTTCCCTAGAAATTCTTAACAGAGACAATATAGCAAGTGCATGTGAACAACCACATCTGGGTTCAAGTCCCGGCGGCCATATGGGATGCTGGTACTGTGGGCAGCAGCTTTACCCGCTACGCCACAGTGCCAGTCCCTTTCCTCTCTTTTAAAAATTATTTTTTTTAAAGACAGATAAAGGGGTCCAGCATTGTGGCATAGTGGTTGTAAGGCTGCCAGCTGTAGCGCTGGCATCCAGTTTGAGCCCGGCTGCTTCACTTCTGAGCCGGCTCCCTGCTAATGTTCCTGGGAAAGCAGCAGAAGATGGTCCAAATGCTTGAGTCCCTGCACCCACGTGGTAGACAGAGAGGAAGCTCCTGGCTCTTGGCTCCTGGCTTTGATGTGATCCAGCCCTGGCTGTTGTAGCCATCTGGGGAGTGAGCCAGCAGATAGAAACCTCTCTCTTCTCATCTCTCTCTCTGTCTCTCCTTCTCTCTAAATCTGCCTTTCATATGAATAAATAAATCCTTAAAGAAAAAGAAAAATTGAAGTAGTAATACCATTTTTGATTCCTATAGAGGTTTTAGGAAGATCAAGTTATAAAACACTGGACAGTAATTTGTAAGTTAGAAAGCACTACGTGCCTGTAATTTATTTGTGTGTTAAATTGTACAGTAGTCCATGCACTGTGGAGCAATGAGACTGAATCTTGAGTAACATTCAAATTGGTTCATGCCAAGTTCTATTACCTGTGTTAAAAATAACCTTCACTTCACCAAAGGGAAAAAGACGATTTTTGAGTCCCTGCTACATACCTAGTGCTATGCTCTTTGCCTTACACTTGTTTTTCCCATAGTGCCACACAGGAAAACAATGAAATTCAGTGAACAAAGCCGGAGGTACTTCACGATGAAAACTAAGGTGGCTCTGATCTGGAATCCCATGTTCTTTCTGTCCTTACTATGGTCAGAGACACCATTTGGGGAAAGTATTTCTATGGAATTCCTATTGTTCTCATGGAAACACTTACTCTTGTGGAAAATTCCAGAGTGACTGAAGGGCATTATTTGATTGGATACAAGGATTATTTGATATAGGTACTCCTTGAAACGTTTAAAGAAGTTGTGATTGTTTCACTTTAGAGGAAAGAATGAACTAATTCCAAAAGCCATTTGCCAGGAATTGAAAGGAAACAGAATATTGACAAACAGTGGTATCTCCTGTGTGTAATTTAAACCCATCTTCAAGTATAATTTGGAAGTTTTCGTAGCATGGTTTCTTTAGACCTAAGAAGTGAGGCTGAGGGAAGCTATGGAATTTCTTTCTTGATAGAATGCTTGTTTAGAACAGGGTAGATTATCTTTCTAGGACTTATTCATAGTCCTGTTGGAAGTAGAAAAGTAGACTCTACCAAGTAAACATGAAGGGAAAAGTTGTTATAAATCCTGAAACTGTGATTAAAATGCATGATATTACAGCAAAGGGGGACTGAAATGATATTACAGTACAGAGACACTTGAGGGTGCTCTAACCAGCTGCTATTAAAAAAAATGAGTTAAACTGTTCAGGTATTGGGGGAAATGAGGGACTACTGTGAATGGCAGTGTTGACATCTGACTTTTAGCACTGGCTAAACAGAACAACCTTAGAATAGATGGCTTTTCTTTTAAATCAAATGTATCGGTCTTCCCTCCCCTTTACCACCCTTCTTCCCAGTTTAAAACGTGGAAAGCATTCACACTGGACAACTTGAGAAACACGTAAAGAGAACAAAGAAGAAAAAAGCTCTCAGTATGGGAGGCTGGGTGTTCTCATGTCAGGCCAGTTGGAGGCTTAGCTCAGGAGGCCGACCTTCAAACGCCAACCCAGCCTGTTCACATCTTGATTCCACAGACCTACTGATGGTGGTAGTAGGGGGAGGAGCAATGGGGGGTCTGATGACCGCAAGCAGAGAATTAGAGACGTATGTTTATCTCAATACATTTACTCTCATTAAAGTTCATATTCACTGACATCATGCATCTCCTTGAGAAAGCCTGCCCACCCACCATTAATTAAAGCCACATTTTAAAAAGTCAGTGTGTGCACTTTTATTCCAATCAAAAGTAGCCTCCTAAGTTTTGCAGAGTAGGCAGGAGAGTATCTGAGGCCTGACAGCTGTTCACCTCTACACAGGGAAGAATCATGTAATGTACAGTAAAAGCCATGTTATTCAGGGCCTAAAATATAATGGCTAAGATCTGTTGTCTTGAAGAGTTGAAACATTCAGTATCTAATAACTTATTAAGCAAAATTCACATTTATTTTGGTAAGTCAACATTCTTTGGATACAGTGTATGACCACATGCCTTTATCCTCCCAAATGATCAGAGAAATCTAACTGTGTTCCCTGTCTGAATAATTAAGCACCACACTCCTATTGTAGACACCACAGTTCATAACTTTTACACGTGCTATCAGTGTCAAAACAGAGGTCAATGTAAATTTCTTTTATCCAAATCATTGCACAAACAGTAATTTCCCATAGCTGTAGGATTGCACAACCACAGTCTATATCCTTGGCAGTAGTCAACCTAACTTCATAGATTCATGAAAATAAGGAATGTTGACTTTTCAAGTTCAAGAAAGGTACTATTTGTAAACAGTTCAGGTCACACTCATCTTAGTCTATGTGCTAAGCAAGAGTTCTTTCCTTCTGACTTCCTTTAAATGAGATTTGCTCTCTCCAGGAGCCTAGTAAAAAGGTTTTCATCCAAACAGATCTGCATTCTTTTCTATTCTTTTCCCTATTAAAGCCCCCCTTGGAGACCTTTCAATTTTATACTGATCTTCCTTTCTATAATATCCAGTACATTTCTATGTTGTATTGATAAAAGACAAATTATGGTTATCTCTTCCCATTTGTAATTAGCTTATTCCAGAATAATTCTGACCAAATATTTTCTGAGGCCAGCCAATTTATTCTTTCTATATAGAGGTGTACCTAGTGGGCAGCATTCTGGTTATGCTACCTTAAAGAAAGGGATGTGTCATCAATAGATCCAAGCACTGGTATTGAGATGGTTTAATCCTGACTCCGCTCACCCCTGAGCTGGGAGCTGAAACTTGAATTCTAGCCCTTACTCTCTATCAACTCACCACGTGACCTTGAGGGTTTCTGGTTTTCCATCTGGCAAACAGTGGGTAGAGAGTAACTACTGTGTCACAGGCCCACAGCCCAGGAAGACTAGCAGATAAGGCACCAGAGCACCCCTTGGGGGGCCAAGTCTTTCCTGGTCTGCTTACTCTTCCAGCAAAAAACACAAAAAACAAGGTAGAGCTTTTATGAGTTAGAGCTGGGTCTGGCTCTAAAAGAGCATTCCCGAATACAGAAGAAGCCAATGAACCGTGCCTGGTGAATTTCATGAACAGTCTGGGAGAAGATGCTGTGGATATTGCTATCTCTTAGACACAACCATTCAATGTACCACTGCTATATGGGAGGAAGTAACATCCTAATCCAGACCCTATCTGCCCAGATGATACAGGATCCAGAGGGACCATAAAACACTTGACTCAACACAATGCCAAAAGCAATGGGTGGACTCCTTCAGCTCAGCTGTGGGAAGGAAAGTGGAGTGTGGGTGGGGATCTTTTAACCCAGTCGGTGGTATTCTTTAGAACAAACAGCTCAGTGCTGGGGGACAGTGGAAAGTTGTGACTCTACAGCATTTTATCAGCGCTAGGAAAAGTTTTAGATAAGCTCTGCTCAAGTGATTGATAGGACCATGCTGTGTACAAAATGAGCACCATTGCATTTCCATACCTTCCTGCCCGCTCTGTTGTTGTGAAGATTCATCAGCGCTCTGGCATCCTTTCCTTTCCTTTCCTTGGCATCCACAAAGGCTCGGGCAAACTTGATCCCATAGTCAATGTTATCACTGCAGCCACCCCAGTCGAAGGTGCCCTTGCTGTCCTTGGCAGTTCCTTTCTTCTTTGGATCACAGGAACAGGATTTTAATTCTCCTTGGCTACAGGCCCTGGTGATGGCAAATACAACTCCAGCTGAGGAGATGGCGTATACAAAGGCAGATTCCCGACTACCTGAAACAAAAATGCTTTTCTTAAAAGTGGTCTGGCAGCACTAGCTCTGAAGAACTTTCACACGGTGACTGTATGATATTTGATCTGCTAGGGGCATCCATTGCCACTAGACAAAAGGCTGATGGGATACGGGAAGATTTATTTCATTTCTAGAGCTAAGGCTCACTCTTTAATATGAATGATTGCCACGTAATAGATATCTGTAGAACAAGTCTCCTCAAAGCAAATGACAAGTATAAAAACCCAAAATGGCCTTGTGTCTTCAAACCAGCTCATGCACATGGCATCGCTAGCTAAGCCTTAGTTTTTTCATCTTAAAATACAGTCTGAATTCTACAATTCAATCATTCCATGATATTTTTGAGTATTCACAGCTTCTGTTGGAAAAAAAAAAAAAAAACCAAACTTCTGAACTACCAGGCATTACTGAAGACATTCATAGGCATTTAAATTATTGACATTGAAAGACTGAATTCAGAGAAACCTAGGGGCTGAGGTAGGACGAGAATTCCGGCAGTAACCAGCTCCTGGCGTTAACACTGAGAGCTTTGGCTTGGCATCAACTTTCACAAGTAATTGAAAGATTGTTGAAGGCAATATGCAATATCCTTGAGTTACATACTATGTCTAGCCATTAAGGTGAATGTACTTTCTTCTAGAACACCTGCACTAATCACTGCTATTGGGTAAAAGACAGTGAAAAGCTTTTCTTTGGTTTTTCTGGAAGGAAGCAAATTTACCGCCTATAATTAGACTTGGGCAAGAACCCTTTGGGGTGCTTTCTTAGAATTGTTCTTTATTAGACCACAGGCTACTTTCACTTACAGGCTGAAAGGTACATATTTCAGTGCAATAACTACATTAAATTATTTTAATAATCTGTAGTAACTCATAACACGGTGTTGCGGTATAGTGACAGATATAAGGCTCTTTAGGGTCCTTGTGCACCTTGTTTCTCAAGTGGAGCTGTATTTCATTGTTATTAGCATGCGTTGTTATTCATGGTTGCTGCAGCAAATATATTCACAATCAAAATAGAAGCTAGACAACCTAGTGCCAATGCAAGGCAGAACACAGAACCGTTGGGTGAGTTAGGATGTCAAGCGCAGTGTGACTTTCTGAGCCACACAGCTAGGAGCACAAACCACCTTTCTGAATGGAAGCCCTGCTTGTTTCCGTTTGTCATTCATGGCTAAAATTTATTATACGTCCCTGGCAATATTTGCTCTGCAAGTCTCATTATTAAAAATCAGGAAAACATATCTACGCCCTATTAAATGGCACTTACCTCAGCCTTCAGAAAATCTCTCTCTCGAAACCTCTAACCATCAGAAAAAAAGTTAATCATGCCCCGTAGTCAAATAAAATCAAATAGATGAATATTTGTCATAGGGAACAGGTAGTGGTCTCTAGATAGACCTGTGATGGTGCATGGGAGCTGTCCCAGAGGTCTGTGGTGGTACATGGGAGCTGTCTCAGAGGTCTGTGGTGGTACATGGGAGCTGTCCCAGAGATCTGTGGTGGTACATGGGAGCTGTCCCAGAGGTCTGTGGTGGTACATGGGAGCTGTCCCAGAGGTCTGTGGTGGTGCATGGGAGCTGTCTCAGAGCTCTGTGGTGGTACATGGGAGCTGTCTCACAGGTCTGTGGTGGTACATGGGAGCTGTCTCAGAGATCTGTGATGGTGCATGGGAGTTGTCCCAGAGGTCTGTGGTGGTACATGAGAGCTGTCCCAGAGGTCTGTGGTGGTACATGGGAGCTGTCTCAGAGGTCTGTGGTGGTACATGGGAGCTGTCTCACAGGTCTGTGGTGGTACATGGGAGCTGTCCCAGAGGTCTGTGGTGGTACATGGGAGCTGTCTCAGAGGTCTGTGGTGGTACATGGGAGCTGTCCCAGAGGTCTGTGGTGGTACATGGGAGCTGTCCCAGAGGTCTGTGATGGTACAAGGGAGCTGTCCCAGAGGTCTGTGGTGGTACATGGGAGCTGTCCCAGAGGTCTGTGGTGGTACATGGGAGCTGTCTCAGAGGTCTGTGGTGGTACATGGGAGCTGTCTCAGAGGTCTGTGGTGGTGCATGGGAACTGTCTCAGAGGGTCCCCGCTTGTGTTATCAAGGACACAGGACTCTGAGTGAAACTGACATGTGCTGTAAAGGAAGGTGAGAGATGGTGCATGGCTTAATCAGGTCGTAGCTTCCAGATCAATAACATTTTTATCATCCGCATTTCATAGTTCAGGAAAACATCTTGCCCATAGTTATCCCATTTATTTTCTCAAGTCTGGTCTTGGATTTGGAGTCCAGTGCCCATGATCAGAGATGCCACACAGGGGAAAAAAACTCCTAAGTGCCTAATAAATTTAGCAACAGTGTTCATTTTAAGGAGACACCAATTTTGTGAGGTGGTCTTTCAGGGGGAAGGGATGGGAGATGTGGATGACGGTGTGTCACTGAGGATCAGTCCTCTAGGTGTGGAATTCATCCTGCTGTGAGGTGCAAACAACTGCATTGACTTATTGGCCGAAAGAAAAAGAAATCACAATCTGCTCCATTTCAGAAATAATTTTCAAAGCAAAAACATCACCTTTCTAAAGATTTATCATTCAAACAGGTTACTAAATAGTTAAATGTTTATTTATTTGAATGAAAAACAGCGCATTGACTGGCTATTCATTTTACCTCCAGATGTTTTGATATCACGAAGATATGGCCTTAAGATGTTTTCAGTTAAGTGTTTGAGATGAATCACTAAAATGCTATGTGTGAAATAGTAGCACATTTCAAGAATTGGCTTTGTAACAAAATAAATTGTGATCTTAGGCCTCTTTGTAGAAAAACTGATTCTTTTTAAAGCCATCACAACATTCAGATCTAAATGGTGATGTTTTTACTTCCTAATGTGTGGCTATTGAAGTTGCTCTCATTTTTGATCTTAGAAAAATAAAGCAAGTGTACTATGAAGTACACAATCTCTGTTTTTGTTACCTGGGAAGGCCAAACACTAGAAACTAGAGTTTCTTGAAAGATGTGGTTTACTGAATTCTCTTTAAAACGATTTGATTTTAACATATGTATCTACAAAGGTAAAGCCTAATAATCTTTTGACTCTGTCATAAAGGCTTATTCTAGAATTCTGAAGGCATATTCTTGCAAGAATGTTTTTGGTTTTCCTCTGCTTGTGACTAGCAACTGTCTGTTCAAAGAGTAAATGACAAATGTCCCTAAGACTTATTCTTTCTTATTCTGGCTCTCTAAGGCAACACAGGCAAATTGTCTCCATGACCATCCAGTCTTTTAGTAACTTGGATGTTTTCTCTAAATGGTGTTACTCTTTGCTTTTCCTATTAGTCTATAAGCACATTTAGGTTTCCTAAGGAGAGTTCTTTACAACTCTAAGATATTAATTTCCACCCAAGCAATTAATTGTGAAAATATTTAAAACTGCCTCATTGGAATTTCCTGATTATTTCCAGGAAAAGCTGCTGTAGACCAAATCTGGCCTTCCCATAACCAATACAAAATCATCACTGATGGTCACAGGGGTTTGCATAAATGTTTGAGAAAGAATTGGGCCTTCTGTGCACAATCGAAATTGTGTAGCATGAGTGTTGTAGGTTCTAAGCACATTGGCAAAGCGTTCCGCTTCATCAGAAAGGAATCTGAAGGAAGTATTCGTTAGGATCTTATATTTACCTGAGGCCTTGGGCTAAGTCAAACTAGTCCCATTTCCACCAGTTCTAACCTCCTCCTTCCGAGCAGCTCTACAGCTCTGAAGAAGCAAACACTGCCAAGATTAGGATCCAGTATTTCATGAAGGAATCCCCTTTGGCACATATATGAGTACTATCTGTAGGGTCACTGGTCAAAACTGCTTCATTTGATTTGTGATCTAAAGATTTTTTTTTAATAGGGAGATATCTTAATGGATCTAGAGGTGGTCATTTTGCAAATGAGAAATGCATCTACACTGAAATCACTGGAAAATGGTTGGGAGTACTTTGAAAAAGAAAGATTCTGATAAACACTGAGAGCCTGCACATAATGTATCCAGAGATTACTTGTGCTAGATATTTGCAAGCTCTCTTTGACAAGGTCCAGCACTTTAATTGATTCACTGGTGAGCTAATCTAGGTGAAGTCTTAAATTCCATGAAGCTGAAATTTACTATTAACCTTTCAAAAATTTGCGATGTCATATCGAAACTCCAAAAAGAATGCAGAAGAGTATAGTTCTTAAACTAGAGAATAAAATTGCAGAATATCGCAGTAAATTAACTTTAGGAATACTCCAAGAGTGAGAGTACTACGCCCTTGGGGGATTTTAGAGACATTCAGTTATGCATTTGGCCTCATAAAACCCTAGGGCTGTGATGATTACATGATAGAAACACCCTCTGTTAAGCATTACCAAGTTGCACAGCCTGGATGATTTTCTTAGGAATGGTGATGGGGGCTGGGGGGGGGCGCTAAAAACAAGTGTACATGTTCTTGTCTCTGGGGTTTGCACATAAACTCTTGTGTTTTCAAACAGGTCTCCCTATGGCAAATAGGCTGTGTTATTTCCTGGAGAATACTAATAATGCCAGCTTAGTAGATGGGTATTATTTGGAATTAAAACCTGATTTTCAATTGATTTTCTCTGATTGCAAACTAGCTAAATAGCTCCTTCCCATGTTCAGATGTTTATTTTATAATTGGATAATGTTGAAGTCTCCTTTGAAGGAAAAAAAAAAAAACCCTCATATAGTCTTGTTTCCTACTTCCGTCCTCCATAATAATCTTATTGCTTAAAATGTTGCTGGAAAATAATAGGTGCTCACTGTAAGTTCATCCAGGCTTTGGTCGTAATGAGTGGTGCTGGTAATACATAAGGCTGCAGGAAAGGCACAGGGAATGCAGGATAGGCCCTGCCCTTACAAATATATAATCCATTGTAAAAAATGTTCGATACAGAGTGGCTGAAGGCTGAGGAGCTGAATGAGAGGTCAAAGGCACTCAGTAAAGAGTTTTCTCTACTTCTCAATAACATTCACTCTGTTTTTGTAATCATGATGATCTTTGGCTGATAAGAGATGTGAGCATTCTACCCTGCTCTTCTGCTTAAATTCTCCTGGAAGGTTCAAGCCCCAGAAAGATAAGGAAAAAGTCAGAAGATCCCTGTGGCTGTGTCCTCCTGTCTCCTAGAAACAAAATCTGAAACAGGAGAGACGTGCAGGGTTGAAGCAATGCACAGAGCAGACAGGGAAGACAACAGCCCTGGGCCCTACATGCTACTCCATGACTGGCTTACAGTAAGACTATTTAGACAAGTCCCATGATTTTCTCATCCTTATCTTCAAGACAGAGACGATGCCACCCAATAGCACAAATGGATAGACTATAATGCAGTTGCAGCCCCAGTGAGGGTTGTGTGGAGCCAGGGGAGGCGAGAGACTTACTTCGGAGCAGAACCCTGCCAAAGAGGCCGTGATCCCTGTCCAGGGTGTTGCAGTTCCAGCGGTGCTGTCGGAACTGATACTGGCACTCTGCTGTCCACTCGGCCACACCCAGGCCTATGGCACGCATCACGTCCGGGTGTCGGTGGCACAGCTGCCGCTGGCGGCTCACCAGGCCTGGCACATTGTCACACATCACCCTGGAGGAGTCACCTGTAGCTCTCATGTACCTGGGAGGGACCAATGCAGAGAGGAGAGAGACGTGAGCAGACAGCCCTGGCTCAGCGTTTCCCAGGAGACTGGAGCAAAAGCACTGTCTTAGGATGGATTCTTTATCATTTTGGTGATGTTAAGCTGGTTTTAATTCACTGGAGAAGCAGGCGAAGGAAGGCACGGGGCAGGATCTGGCAGAAGCCACGCTGTGGTGGAGTGGTGCTTGTCTTTTGCACTTGAAGCCAGGGCCACCCAAGGACGCCCTTGGCAGGGAGGTAGAGGCAAGGACTGCAGTTGGGGGATTGAAAGAGATTGCAGCCTTCCAGGGGAAATGTGTTTTGGGGAGGACACCTAAGGACTTTCTTCCCTGGAAGGCTCTGATCTCAGTGACACAATGTGTCTGGACTTGACTTTGGAGGAAGCCAACCTCTGGAAGCCCCTCACTCCATTTATTTAACCTAATATCTTACAAACTGTCTGCATCTGTCTAATCAACACCTGCTGGTATCTGATGCTACAGTCTCCTCACAGGCATGCCATTCTTTCCTTACTTAAAAAAAATCCCTTACATATTTCCATTATCTAGTTCTCTTTAGCTTTTATGGAAAACCTTTGGAAAAAATTCTTTCTATTGTTATTAAGGACACTAAATGTTTGGAAGAATCAAACAATGTTATAGCTCCATAAAGTACTTTTTGAAAAGAAACTTTAACAAAAAATTACATCATCATCCCTACCCAGATGTTCTCTATTAGTTGTGAAATGTTTAGAAAGGTACCTTTTATATAACCCAAGCTGCCATAGGTGTCTTTTGAAGGGATCAAACAAGGAGAATGTCTTTTTCTTGTATTTTCATTATTTTATATGATCATAAAATCGCTACAGCTGTGACTTCCAAAAAATATATTTAAGTGACAGCTGAGAGACAATGTGACAAAAAGCCTGGGCAATAAATAATGTTTATACACCCATGGAAACAGAAATGGTCATTTTATTGAAACATGGTCAGTCTGATAAATCAATCTTTGATCCTGTGTCAGCAATGTCAAGGCTAAACGCCTTCCTGTTCAAAGCCGGCTTAGGGAGGAATTGAACCCTTTTTCCCACCAGCACTCTTTGCCTTACCCCTTTGAGGGGCTCTAGTATCTTCCTAAGAAGTTCCCTTCTCCAGTCTTTCACTGGGCTGAGAGGCTTACTTTTGCCAGACTCTGAAAACCAGAGCCCGATAAGCAGTCTTTCTGAGTCAGAATTCTAGTATCTGTTCTGAAACTTCTACCGGTGAGGAACTTTCCACGGAACCTAACTCCATCTCTCTCTGAGATCAGGAAGTCGGGAGATGGGGCAGAGTTTCTGCATGGGGACAGAAGCTGCCTTTGGAACTTTCCCCGATGCTAAGACCTGCCACGGTTCAAGGTTACATCACTATGCAAAATAAATAAATAAAGGCATTAGGTCAGCGCCCTACAAAGGCCGCCGGTGGAGTTACTCTTTGGGGTGCGGGTTTCGGACAGGGCTGTGGCTTGGCAGAAAGGCGACAGTGTCTACCTGGGGGCAGCAGGGCGTTCTTCTGCCTCGCTGAAGGGAAGCATTAGGAATGTGGGAGGACGGGAAATAATAGTCTGTGGGTTCCACAACTCCTGACTGCCTGAATGGACCGCCGGCTTATCTCCAGGCGTTTTGGGGAGAGAAAAAGGTGGGGGAAGCAGATGTAGTTTTCAAGGTGAATTTACACATACGTACGCGTACACACACACACACACACACACACACCCCCATGTGGAGCTGGAGAACTGGCTGGCGCGGCTCTCCACAGGATCACAAATTGGCTGATTTTGCGGTCGCTCAGCTGCATCCAAATAACCCAAACACCAGGGCTCTCATTACAGGGGGGCATGTGATTTTTTTTTTTTTTTTTGGAGTTGTCAAAGCTGAAAGGGTCTTCCGCGGAAAGCTAAGGGGCACGGGATGGGGCAACAGCAGCGCGCAGCAGTGGGGTTCGGGCTGGCGGCATCCGTGTCTGTGGGGCAGCGCCACCGCCTCGCAGGATCTGGGACCCGCGCGGTCCCCGCTCCCCTCTCCCTTCTCCCAAGTGTCCGCGTTGGGGACTTACCACCATGAAGAGCTGACCTCGGGGCTGAGCCAGGTCAAGAGCAGAGGGAGCCCCAGCCAGATTCCACCGAGAGGGGCGTTCATATTAACCCCCTTGCGTCCGCATCAGGTCAGACTCCGTGTGCGGGCGCCATGCGTGCGCGGAGCAGAAGCGCTCAGCGCCGGGAGCGCCTCGTCACGGCCGCCGGCGCCGCGCCCCCGCCCCCCCTGCTCGCGTCTGCGGGCGAGCAGCAAGACTCACTGATAAAGTTTCAAAAGACAAGCCCGGGGAGCGATAAAGGCCAGCCGGGCCGCCTCGCCCACAGCCCAATTCCCCAGGCGCAGGAGCGCGGCCGCCGCACGCCCCAGTCCGATCAGCTCTGCACCCCACCGGCAGCAGCTGTGGAGGGGGCGCTGCGCTGGAGTGGGTGGGGGTGGGGGGGCACAGGGTCTCGCACGCGAGTGGACAGAAGGATTGCCAGGGACGTCTGGGGGCGAGGGGGCGGGGAGGAAAGAGCACCAGCGTTTGGGGAAGCCCGGAGCAAAAAGCCAGCTCAGCCCCAGGAGCGCGCATTCCGGATAGGCGAGGCTACCCGCAGGCACACAGCAGTCCCCAAGGAGCAGGCGACATGGGAACGTGAGGGCAGGGACTGCAACAGGACTGGGTGCGAGATGCCAGAATCCACTCATGGCCTCGCTTCTCTCCCTGCCACTGGGAAGGATCAAAGCACTTGTGAATTTGGAGCTGCAAGGTTGGGGAGGGAGGGGCTGGGCCACCTCCGGGAAATAAAGACCTGTAGCCTAGGTTCCTCTTGTGTTGGGCTTAACCACAGAACTCCAGAAGAAGGGAGCCGAGAAGCCTGGAGTCCCCGGGGATCTCCCCAGCACTCTCAGCAGCGCACTGGGGACCACGAGATTTTCACACACACCCAGCTCCTCTCTGGCGCTGCAGAGCGCCGAGATCGCACAGGGAGGGCGGGAGTCCACCCAGAGGCTGCGCCCAGCGCTGGCCGCACCTTCCGCAGCCTGGGTGCTGGAGCTGCGTGACTGGTGGGGCGGGGGTAGGGATGGGGGTCGAGGGACCCTCAGCCCTAGACCTGGGCCAGGCAGAGCCCAGCGAGAGGGGCTTGGCCTGCGGGCGGAGCATCTCAGGCAGCAACTGGCGTGCGGCCCCGCGGTTTATCACCGGAAAGGAAGGAAGACCAGGAACTCACAGCGGCCGTGAACTGTTCCATTGCTCCTTTCCTGGGGCGGAGGGACCAGTCGCCCGCCCGTCCGCCCACCCGGGAACTTGCACTTGGGAATAGGCAGTGCGTGTGCATGCATGAGTGTTTAGGTGGGTGGGGGGCGCATTGTTCGCAGGCCGCAGGAGGGGTGGCCGTCCAGATGGCAAGGACAGGCTCTCGCCCTGCGCGCCCACCCCTCGGCCAGCCCTCCCTGAGCGCGGTGAGGGTCTGGACGAGGCAAAGCTCAGAGACGCCAAAAACCTGAAAGATGCTGTCATCGCCACCCCTTCCCCCATGCCGGTCCCTGGCAGGTCTGGCACCTCCCAGGCTGACCCAGATACATCCCCATTTGGGTCCGGAAGGGAGGAGAGGGAAACAAGCACCGAGCCACCCACGACTCGGGAAGAGCAGGGCCCCGCGCCAGGGCCGCTGCATATCTCTGGGCCGTGACCCAGGGGGAAGTTGTGCTCGGTCTGTGCGGGGGCGCGCGGGGCTGCGGCGTGCGCGGAGTGCGTGCTCGCTGGGGGAGGGTGTGTGCCGAGCGCTGCACAGCAGCACCCCGGTACCGCCAACCTCTGTGCTTAAGGCCCCACGTCTCCTACCCAAAGGAAATGCTAAGCTTCACCTCCATCCTCCTTTGTCTGTCTCCAAGTAAATGACACTCGGGAGTGATAGAAGAGATGACTGGCGTTGTTGGAACCAGAAGTTGCCAAAATTTCATTTCCACTGGCCAAGAAAGTAGGAGGGTGGATGTGTATACATTGGGAAAGGTAGGCAGTTGGCTGCTTCTCTCGTGAAAAAAGAGAATTGAAGCCATCTAAGGAACTCTCACTCAAAGTTCCACCCATCTCAGCACATCGTGTCCTCACAGCTAAGGGGTGTCAGAAATACACGCAGTGTGACCCTTAGCCTAGAAGCCCTGCTCCCGCCCCGGGAATTATTGAGTGGCCAGGAGACCTGCCCTTCAGTTGATGGCGAGGTCAGTGGGATGACCTAAACCTGAAACAGACCTCCTGGAAAAGGCAAGGACCATCCTCAAAGCTAATTAAATCCCCTCCAAAGGACTCCAGCCTGGGGCAGGAGGTTCATTGTCACATGCAGGGAAGAAATTAGTTTTGGTGAAAGGCTGAGAAAATTCAAGAAAAGCTGCATCCAGATCTGAAAGAAGGTCCGCCCAAACCCCGCTGCCTGACCTGTCTGGAGGCAGGGCGGCCAGGATGACTTGTCTCTTCCAGATCTGTGATTCGGCTCCACTCCCACGCTCCACCCCTGTTCACCGAGCACCCACTCCTTAGTCCGTGCGACTTCCCTCCCTGTGCAGGGCCTGGCTCCTTCCTCAGGGTTTCTATTCTTTGGATAGAGCCTTCCCTTTGCAGACAGGAGAGATAGTTGAGACTTGCTCAAATACAAAGACAAACAAACAAAAATTAGGACCAAAGAAGATTGCAGCAAGCCTCATTCTCTTGCAATAAAAACTGCCATCTTAAAGAATGGTTAGCAGATAATGAAGTGGATTACATATGACATCAGCTTAGCTATAGCAGATGATGAGGTAAGGAAAGACTGGGTTCAGAGTGCCCTTATGTCTAAATTTTAACATCTGATTTAAAAAAAAATTCAACAAGAAATCTCAGATGACTGTGAAATTCATTTACAGTATACAGAACCCACTTCTCTTTTTAGAGATTAATGTTGATTTGCTTGTAACTTCAGTATAGCCTTGAAGCCAAATGAGTCAGTCTATTTTCTTAGTTAGATCCATTGTTTGTCTAATCTCCCAGGGCAGAGAAAGAGAGAGAACTAATGTACTACCAAAGCATCTCCACCCTTTGAAAATGGAGAGTGAGTTCAACCAAATACACATTTGTCTTTCAGTCTGAACTGGCTTCTTCCTAAGGCAGTGACTTGCACTATTGCCACTCACTAGCCAAAAGGGAAGTTCTAATATCAGTCATGTAAACCTTACTGTGCATTTATTTTTTAAAAAAGATTTATTGACTTGAAAGGCAGAATTACAGAGAGAGGGCAAGACAGAGACAGAGAGATCTTCCATCTGCTGGTTTACTCCCCAGGTGGCTGCAACAGCCAGGGCTGGGCCAGGCAAAAGGCAGGAACTTCATTTGGGGCTCCCACCTGAATGGCAGGGGCCCAGGCACTTGGGCCATCTTCTGCTGTTTTTCTCAGGTGCATTAGCAGGGAGCTAGATCAAAAGTAGAGCAGCTGGGACTCAAACCAGCACCTATATGGGAAGACTGCGTCACAGGTGGTGATGGTAGCCACCATGCCAGAATGCCAGCCCCTTAGTGTGCATTTAAGTTAATGTGTACCAAAGACTATTGCTTTCAGCCTTGAGACAGGAGAGGTAGTTGAGAAATGCTCAAGAAAAATAGGTACCTGAACTCTCCTGGTGGGTGGGGGGAGGAGTATCAAACCATAAAACTTGGCCAAATAATGTGAGGTGTATCTTTTCAGCCATTAGGCAGTAGGCAGCACCTAGCTGTGACCCTTGACAGAAGGGAACACATTAGGTGTGCTCCATAAGTGTTTCACAATTGTCCTAATGTTTCTGCCAAAGAGCATCTTTTCTGGGGTACAAGAAGGTAATTGCAAGCAGAACGGTGGTCTCAGTGAAGTGTGGTAATAAGAGTTTTGGGCTGTTGGAGCAGCTGGAATTGACAGTATTTCTGGAGATTAGCAGCTATGAAAAGGGGGCACCTAGAAGTCCACGTGGAGACTCACTCTCAGTCCTTGGCCAAGAACTGAGCTGATCCTGTGGCAAGATTCTTCAAGCCTAGTTGCACATGTCAGGTATTGTAGAGAGTCACTGGAACAGGGACCTCATAGAGCAATTTGGGCTCTCAACTCAGATGCTGCCAAGGCCATGCCTTGAAAGTAATGTCATACTTCTGTGCACAAAAGCTTGTCTTAGATCAAAATTCAAAACAGGGATTAAAATAAGGCAGACAGACCAGGGTGATTTACAAAACCAAAATAAACCCCCATCAAAGGAAGATAATATGATACGGACAGTGTATCATCAATAATAAAAAACTAGCAAATGAAGAACCTGCAAAGGAGTCCCATTCTCAGGAGAAAGCAGTTGATAGAAGCTGCCTCGAGATGATCCAGATGAAGGAGTTATCAAGAAAGAAATGGTAAAGTAGCTATTTCATAAAGGATTATTCACAGAAAATTGTGGTCACAATGAACAAATACATGGAGAATCTCAGAGAAATGGAACTATGAGAAACAAATGATCCCAGATGGAATTATGGAATTGCAAGAAGGTATGAAAAACATTGGGAGAGATAAATATGTTAAAACATAAAATAATACATATAATTTAAAAATAATGATTATAATATATTTTGAAGTTTAAAACATGTAGAAGAAAAATATGTGACATCACTAGCACAAAAAGCATCATGGGGGCTCTGATTTGGCATAAAATGTAGTAAACTATCAAGTCTTTCCCATTGAAAACAGCTAGGCTAGGTATTTTGGCCAGAATGCATGAAGCTATTTGAGTACTTAGAAAAGCAAATGGTAGCAGGTGGATCGGAGAAGACTGAAAGTTGAATTATTACAAAGTGGTGGTAGGATTCCAAGTTCATTTTCCTTTGGATTTGGATTTTTTTATCTTAGACACAGGCAGCCAAAACCTTTAAGTGGATATGTGGCATTGACAGAGAGGCCTACAGGGGGGGAATCTAGAGAAGCCCTTTAGTTTGGCTTCAAGAAAGGGGAAAGGGATTTCTAGCATGCTCAAAGTTAGAATCTCGCACATTCTACATCCCTTGTGAAGTCCTGTGTTGACGTTGGTAGTGACAGTGGCCAGAGTGTGATCTCACGGGTGCCTATAACTCTGAGAGATGGGAAAACTCCTCTTCAGAGGAAGTGTGGGAACAAGGAAGTAGGATAAAATTCCACGGCCTTTTAAAGTTTTTTTTTTTTTTCCTTCTACCATGTGGCTCCAGACATGAGTGTAGTCACAGGAAGTATATAGAAAAATGAGATAACTGAAGTCCTAATTTGTATCCAGAGCACAAAAATATATGTCCTTAAGACATAGAAAGGATTGAGGAGGTTATGAGAACATGGAGCTTGGGAAAGCAATCCCGTAAAGCTATAAGTGAACTTCTATGCCTGTCCCCTAAAC